TGGCTTCTCCATGCATGAGGATGATGCCGTTATTAAGCAGGAGCAAGAGTTGCTTTCTTCATTTCCTCTCACCTTATTAAAGAGAAGAAGAAAGCCTTCTTTCTCTTCTGTTTTGTGTACTGTCTGACCTGAATTTGATGTCAGGCTTTCAATGGGGGGGGGGAATGTCTTGAGCAAATATAATGCCCTTTTTATCTTTGCTTTCTCGCTAAGCTAAATCCTTTTTACATTTTCAAATGGGATTTTGTTCTCAAGAAAGCATCCTGTTTAAATGGATCATCCAGCTAATACCCAGATTCTGGTTGTGGGGGAAGGACAGGAACCCCCCAGCACACTCTTCAACATATGTTATACTTCTTCCTACACTTAACTATACTATATTAGGTGTTTGGACAAAAGAAATATATGAAAATAGTTTAAATCATGACAACTAAAACTTCCTTTGTTTCTTGTAGGATTCTTTCACATAAACTCTGCCATCTATTACAGGTTTTTTAATTTGATTTAAAAAAAATTAGCTCTTTGTAGTCCATATAATCATTTTAAAAAATTGAAAGGCTATATAGCATACTTCTCTCTGCATGGCACTCATCTCCTGGAGCAATGTTGGAACTTAGTTTTGAAACTCTCCTGAAAGAAGCAAAATTGTACACTCCTGACAGTGTGAAACTTAGGACAACTTTGCACAATAGTCACAAGTCCTCTGGCTCATTATGCTCGTGTGGGCAGCTTGATTCCTCCTACTTGTAGCTGGAGTGCCTAAACAAACCACAGAGCTTCTCCCATGACCAGCTTTTGTGTCATTACCTTCCTTGGTTTACTTCCCTCCCAAGAAACCAGAGAAAGAATGTGGGGTATTATTGTTTGCTTCTTTCTCTTGTTTGCTCTATGGAGGGAACAAACCAGAGGCGAGAAGCTGCCCACTGAAGGATGATGCAATCCACCAACTGCAGAGCAAAGTTCCTTGGGATTTTGTCCCTTTTGGAGGCAATCAGGAGCCAGGGAACAGTGGGATGAATACACTGCTTGTTCATGACAAGGCAGAATTCCCGTGGATGCACATATGAAAATGTGAAAATATTATTTTGTTCTGTCTCAAGCTGCGAGAGTGTGAGATAATGTCAATCAACATTGATGAGCGCTCTTGCAGTTACACCAAATTGCAATAACTGCTGCTGTGTTTCCCTGGACTTTTAAAAATCAGACTTATCAGATGTGTTGTTTGCATCATTCGGTCAGTCAGGCAACCCTTCTGTAGGTGTGCACTTTCTTCACAAAATAAAAGGTACTAGTTTTGCATACAGACATACTCCAGTTTGCTGAAATCTCAACACAAAAAGCTTGTTTCCCTCTCCCACTAGAAGTAAGGAATCTTCTGGACAAGGTGTCCTGATAAGAATGATGCAGATTCCATCCAACAAGACAACCCTCTCACCACCTTTGAATACCACAAATATACAAACTGGGTTTTGGGAAAGAAAGCAAGCATGATGGCAACAAAGCTGAATTACTTCTCTTTAAGCATATGTCATAAAAATAGTAAAGGGAGTCGCTTTGTTTCTTCAAAGGTTCCACCATTACATCGCAGCATGCCCCATACCATTGCTGTTTGCATAAATATGTTTGGATGCCAGGAGGACTGGTCACAACAACATTTCAAGGGACAGAAACAGTGTGGAGAGCCGTTGTGTCTGGGAACGTTCCACACCAGAATAAAACTCTCAGCAGCAGCAACAGTAAGGTTCCTCTCAAGAATCCAGAGACCCCAAAAATCAGGTCATAGACATGAATACCACCCCCCCCCAGCCAAAGAGCCGCATTTCCTGCAGAAAAGACATTGCTGGACATCGTGTTTGTCTCCTTACAGCTAAGGGAAGCCTTGCTTTGTGTGAGGGAAACTAGCTGACTTCTGCCCATTTGGGGGGGGGGGGAAGAGGAGCGAGGAAAAACCAAAACACAAAGAAATGTTTTATTACATGGTGAACCACTATGGATGTGCATTCCTACAATTTATTGTTTGTTTTGTATTTTTGTAAAAGAATACATTTTATTTTATTTTTTTATAAAAAGAGAAGGAGAAGAAACGCTCCAGTTGGCAGCACTGGCGAGGTCTTGTTTAGATTCCTCTCTCTTTTCTTGTGAAACCACTTCAGGAGAGAAATATGCAACAATTAGTGGAATTTAATATAAGGGAAAATTTGGAAAAATGACATATTGGAAGGTGAGAGAAATTTGTGGAATTATACAATGGAGTCAGCAAAACATGCTGCTTATATACCGCCTCATAGTGCTTCAAGCACTCTCTAGGCGGTTTACAAGTTAATTATGCAAGCTACACATTGTCCCTCCAGCAAGCTGGGTACTCATTTTACCAACCTCAGAAGGATGGAAGGCTGAGTCAACCTTGAGCCAGCCACCTGGGATTGAACCCCAGGTCGTGAGCACAGGTTTGGCTGCAGTACAGCAGTTTAACTACTGCGCCACAAGGCTCTCTCTGGGTCAGGATGAGTAATGTATTCAAACACTAGAGTTGGGTTCATACCCATATTAAGAACAATGTTATAATGGTCTGAAAATTTTGACAATAAATCAAGTTGCTTACGCTGGTTGCTATGTCTGTTCTTGTGATTCTTGGTGAAAAACTACAGGCCTGGATCTGGGAAAGCCAGATCTTCTGCCCTGGGAGGAATAAATGTGTTCTATGGATCCCTTCTACAGTACCTCCTTAAATCTCAGGTTCTGTTGAATTATTGCAAGGCTGAACAGAAAACATTACACCCTTGTTCTTTTCAAACTTCTGTGGTATTCAGGAAGTGGCCAATTAATGAATTGGAATAACACAAACCAACTCATATTTTACTGAGGCAACAGACAGATATACAGATAGGCACACACAGAGAGACAGCAAGCCAGAGAGAGAGAGAGAGAGAGAGATCCTCCTTGTAGCAGGGGGTTGAGTGAGTGCATGTATTTAAAACAGTTGGAACAATGCAATATTATTTCCACTGAAATGACTCCTGCTCTCCATTTCTGCCCTCAGTTTGCAAATGATTAACCAACCCTTTCCATCAAACTTGCTCTCCCTTATATTGGGGACATATTTTGTACTCAGGAGGGACAGCCAACAGTGCAGCCTGTTCCAAAAGCAAATCTATATAACCCCAAAGCCTGCAGAGTTAACAAGGAATTAAAAAACAAATACTGGCATGACCTTTATGTAACTCTGAAACCCTGAATGAGCAGAGTTGCAACTTGTACCAAATTTTAGATTTGTGTACTCTGTTACTCCCAGTAATTATTTGTACAATAGTATTAAGATTGTGCTGGGCACTACCTGGAGTATCCATGGGCTAGTAAACAACAGAAGAAAAGCCAGGGAAAGGAGAAATCAAGAAGTAGCAATTAAGTGGAGAAGGTACTTGTAGACTGAAGCAGCAGAGAAGGAGTTAAAGTGAGTGCCAGGAAATATTTGCTATAGTGTGGTCTTGATTAAGAACTTCCTTACAACCATTAACTGAGTAACTGGTTAGTTAAGTTTACATGTGACTAAATTAGTTCTAATGAAAAAGTGTGCTGCATAGATTTCTGTGGTGCACATGTACTGCATCTTAAAGGAAATACTGTAACGTCATACAGTATGTGTTATACGCTGTCATGTTGATTCCAACTTATGGTATCCCATAACTAAGGTTTTCTGAGGTATCTGAGATATTTAAAGGGTGCTTTTATCAGTTGCAACCCCTAGTGAGTATTCATCACCAAGTGGGGATTAGAATCCTGGTCTTAATTCCATTCCACTCTACTCAACAGGCTGTAATAAAATGGGCATAATTTCTCTCCTATAGCAGTGGACTGATCCTTTCAAGCTGATGCCTGTGAATTTTATAAGTCAGAATGGGTGAGAAATTTGATTCACATTTTGATGCCAGCTTATCTATATTTGTTCATTAGTTTTTTATTTTATTTTATTTCATTTGCCATTCTTCTATAAAATTACAATTATAATGGAATACAACACAATTAAAACAATAAAACATATGGCAAGTATAGCAGTCATAGTAATCTATTCCTGCTGAATAAGTTATGCCATGGTGTAACTCAGAGCACCAGGATTTCAGCCAGTGGAAGGATTTTAATAAATTGATCTTTTTTTTTCAATTAAATCATATTAGTCCTGATGAAGAATTTAAAGGAGGCCTGTGAAAAGGTGGGGCCTGCTTGAGATTAGGGAGGCTTGGCAGAATGTTTCTTCAATTCAGAGTCCAATTTTAGGAAAATGAGAAGAGTTTTGTGGTGCCGATGAATGAATGAATTTTATTTCATGGACTGCATGCACCCCCCCATCATCAAATGCATCATGTATCAGAAGAAACTGCAGCTCACAAAAACTTATGAGAAATAGGCTCTATTTGTTTTTAATGTAACATAAAACTCTTTGTTCTTGCAGGCAAACACCTTGGAAATTTCTGGAGTTTTAAAAATCAGAATGCAAGGTACAATCCACCTGAGGGACATATTTTAAGGGGAACCATTCAGAGAACACAAGACATGGGGTAACAATTCCTTCAAGCAACTGAGAAATTAGCTTGAGGTGCTGAGCTAGTCAAGCTCTGATGCTTATTCTGACTTCTGAAGTAAATTACCAATTTGGAACAAGGAAACGACTTATATTTCTTCTCTGAAGGCAAAACAGTACTGACTTCAACTTTAACCCAAATGAACTGTTGGGCAAGTTTTCCCAGTTTCAAGTTCTGGGAGAAAGAAACAACAGAAAGAAACAACAAAAACTAGTTTTCAGTTAAAAGAACAGGTAGCGGAAGGCTTTTGGCTTTAGACAGTCCCACCCTAAATTTCTCAATCTCTAAGCTTTATAAGGAAATTGCATTTCATTCCTCAGATCTAGCAATCTTTCACTTACTTAATGTTGCTAATTGGAAAAGACAACAATGTTAGGAAAAGCTGAAGGAAGCTGGAAAAGAAGAAGAGCAAAGAAAGCCACAGCCCAGGTTTGCAAGACCTGAGCAGGAATGTTAATGACAGGCCTTTTGGAGGTCTCTAACTCATAAGGTGACCAGAAGTTGGAAGTAGCTTGTCAGCACGTCGCAGCAGTGTTGCTCCAGTCCAAAAATGTCAAGATTGTGGGAATCAAAATTCCCTCTATATGCTTCTGTTCTGAGGAGAAAAATATCACAGTGTACTGGGTACATTGTCTTTCCCTATCCTCACCTCTCTCCTCACCCTCGGAATTGCATCCTGACCTCGCCTGCATTAACCCGTGATACTCAGTGCAACTCATCATACTGTTCATTGCAGCCCACCCTGAGAAGGTCCCGTTGTGTCCTCCTGTATGACATCAAAACTGAGCAGACACATCTAGCAATACATGGGCTGCAATTGGCTCCATGGGTTGTGCTGACTGAACAAAATTATTGCACTTCCCTGGGAGTAGCCACTGTCCCAAGAGTGGTGGGCAAATGAAGCCCTCTAGATGCTATTAGATTGTAACTCCCAGTAGTTTTCTCTTTGGCCCTGATGGCTGATGGGTGTTGAATTCCAGTCAACATCTGGAGGGCCTCACATTGCCAAGCCCTGTATTATCTCAGCATAGAAGGAGTTAGGATTTTTGCACAAGTGACATGAATTCTTGATTAACAGCACAACTGTATGAAAATGTCAGCTGCGAAGTAATTCCCATTGTGTTCAAAAGGACTTACATCCAAGTAACTCTGTAGTTACTTGGACGTAAGTCATTTTCATTTTATATATATAATGAAAATGAACTAACATGAAAATCGCCAAACCACAAGCAATTATTACTAATAAACATATAAATAAAAGAAGGTGATGTAGTACAGTGATTGGTGTTGGACTGAAACTTGAAAGATGCAGGCACTAGCCCCTCATTCGACCATGAAACTTAGCCATGGGTAAGCCTTGGCCCATCAATCTCTTTCAGTTTGACCCAGTTCAGGGTTTTTCTGTGAAGGTACAATAGAGCAGAGAGATGTTTGCACCACCTTGTGCTCATTATAGGACATATAGGGACAGAAATCTACTCAGAGATTGTACGCTGGATAGCTCAGTGAGATGCAGTACCTGGGTTGGGAGTTCAATTTCCCAGTGTGCCTTCTGGGAGAGGAACCAGCTTATGTAGCATTGGGCAAGCTGCACCATCCCAGATGACCATCAGAAGAAAGAAACAGTAAACAACGTCTGAGAACTTTGTTCCAGAAAATAATAAATAATAGTGCATATTTGTCATTATTTATTCTTAGGAAATCATAAATAAGTACATTGCTCAATTAAACCATTGAAAAGATATGCCTACCTCCTTGCTGCTACTCAGTAGGCAGGACAAGTTCATTCACATTGGTGCCTAAAAATTATTTTGGCAGGTTGCTTTTCCAGTTTTAAGCGATGAGCCAGTAGTACCCTGAGGGAACAGGAATTTCACCAGCTTATTTATTATACACAGGCAGACAAGTGCAAGCAGTGCCAAAACACAAACCCAAATCACAAAATCCTTCCTTTAGGACATGTTTTGGATTTGCAACATGTTGCAGACTTGGAAGATTTGAAAAAACAACAACAACAAAGCAAACCCAAGATCTCCTATCTTCAGTGGCACTGCAGGCCGATATGTTTTGTTTCTGTTGTGTCTGCTCCACAACTATGATTATAAGCAAGAAGTTTCAAAGCAAAGTAGATTTGAAGTTATTATGTTGGCCCAAGAGGAGCCTCAAATGTGCTAAAGAGACAATACAGATGATTTTCTGAGAAACTGATTTGAACTGCAAGTTTTACACACATGTGAATCACTGTGATAGTCAAAAAACCTTTTGGGAGCTGTTTCTGAATGGCTTCTTCACATAAGCACACAGGAGAGGATGCTTCATTACCAGTAAGTTTTGGCACAATTTGTTCCAGTAAATGCCACACCAGATGTATCCTCTGTCCTGTCTTGATCAGTGTTCCCTTTACAGAGTGCAGTAAATTTAATATCCTGCTTTTTGCAGTGTAAGTAACTGCTTACAACATAAATTTCTGGCTGTCCAGTGTCTGCTCTATCCTATCTTTCCCCTTTGCCTCAGAGTTTCTTTTTATAACCCTGAGGGTTGGTTGGAAAGAATGTGTTTAGGCTGCTTGGGACTAAAACATCTTTTTGATGATTCATAACTGCACAGTGTTCCAGATAAACGTTTGCCTGTCCATGGTAACTCAGTAAACCCAACAGTGAATTTGGGGAAGTAAAACTGTTTATTAATGCTGACTGCCATCATTTCATATGGTGGCTATGCATCTGGTGGCTAAGTGCAGTACAAAAGGAGACGCGCTCAGATCCTGGCAAAGAACCTTTACTAATGATAGTTTAAAGTGTGCCAAGGAAGTACAGGAGCTTCCTCAGGTCAGAAAACCAAGGAAAGCAAACCTGATGAATGCCTGTCCAATCTGCAACATGGCGGTGGTGATCATCTTAATTGAGCACTCTGTTTCAAAACTAAGGAATGTGCAAATAGCCATTCAATCCAATTTGTATCCAAATATCTGCTGTTCAAATCAGCACCAACTCCTCTGAGCTGACATGGAGGTGACCTTTAACAATTTGGTTTTCAAGTTTCTGGTGGCACTGTTTGTATTTGTATACTTCTGGATTGGGGACCAAAACTGCAAATGGGTTATACTTGGGATGGGGCGGGGAATACTGTGCTAGCAACTTTGGGGATGTGGTGGATTGTCAGTGTGTCTGTCCATCTCCTACCATTTTCTTTCCTCCACCCCATCCTCTCCCAGGAGCCGTGCATAAGTAAAGCTTGTGCTGGGAGTGTGGGAGATGTCCGCTTGTTGTTCCTAGTCAGTAGCCTGGCTTGGCTCACGGGTGCCCACTCACTGCCTTGGCCCAATCAGAGTGCTGTATCTTGGTTACCCATCCACTCCAGAACATACACAGAGGCACCCACAGGAAGAGAAGAGAAGAACCTCCTTGGTGTCAGTGGCACAGGAAAAACAGTGGGAGACTAAGTTCACACTTTCTTCAACCTCCTCTGCCCAACTGAGCCAGGCATCCATGGTCATGAAGCAGACATGGACCTATTAGCATTCCAATGACCAGTTGCTACGAGACTGCTAGGCCATGCACACAGTCCATCCTGCTTTGACCATTTCTTTCAATTCTGGGTTTGTCTGGTTGGTGTGTGTGTGTGTGTGTGTGTGTGGTTCCCCCCCCCAATTCAATTTTTATTTTCTTTCTGTCAGGAAATATGCAGCAGGCTGTTTTTTTGTATAGCACGCAAGCTGCTCACACAGGACAAGAAGGGGCATGCAGAGAATGCTAATAATTTGTGAAAAGACAGAGGAGAAAAGCAGCTTTTGTATCTTTCCTATGTCTGCTCTTTGTTAAGTGCCATTAAATTCCAAATCAATTCACAAAGCAAACTGAGCCAAATACAGGATCTCTCAGTTGACTCTTAAGAACAAACAACATATAGATGAAACTGACAAGAGAGATAAATGTATAGCTGATGGACAAGGTGTCTGGACTGGAAAGAGTTTCACTTAACAGATTTTAAAAGGGAAATGGCAGGACCCTTGACACATTGACAATGAAGTCCTTAAAACATGGGAAGAAATACTCCTTGAATTATTTATACTACACTTACATATTGGGCAAGGGGGGGAGAAGTTAATCAGATTTGGACTGTATACTGTATGTCGGCAAGACAAAATAGACTTAAGGAAAAAAAATGAAAGCACAAAATCCTCAAATTGAAATATAGGGCTTGTCTACATGGGTTTATTTGGAGCAGGCTGGTATGGGCTAGATTGGTTCAGCTAAGGTTAGGTAGAGGTCCAGTATGTCATTTGGATGCCATTTGATGCAATCATAGCAGCCCTGTTTGATCCCCCTCTCTGTTGAAAACAACAAAAACAATAACAAATCCCTGCCCTTGTCATTTCCTCTCTTTCCCATTTCCAGGAAGAAGTTTTTAATTTAAAAAAACTTTTCTAAGTGATGCAGTGCATTAGCACTGTCCTGATACATTTTTTTAAAAAAACAACTTTTACTTCATCTGCCCCTTCATAGAGCAGAGGAAATGCTTTATTTTCTAATATCATGAAGTAGCTAAACTGTCTTCTTAATCCACTTAACGATATGGGAAATTGAAAGAGGAAGGGAAATTCATGGCCAAAAGCTAGCTTTGGTTCATTTTCAGTGATCACATGCACTGGAAACAAATCAAAATGGAATTACCCTCCCCCCACTAAAAATGTTGAAGCCCCTCACCCAGGGAGACTCAGAAAGGTTTGGAAGGTTTGGATAGGAATGCTGTAGAGACAGGCTGGTTTGGTCCTGCCATCACATTTTGTGACCACCAGAAAAAGGAACAAACCAGCCTGTCTTTGCAGTGGACCAAACAGTGGGAGAAATGTCCATTTGATGGCACCTATAGTGGGATATAACTGTGCTACTATGAAGCAAGAGATTCAGCATGGGAAGAGAAATAGCATTTCTACCAGACTGCAAAAATATCAGAAGTGGGACCATTCTAAAAAGTTTCTATAACGTAAGAAGAATACAAAAGTAGCTATGTGAATCAGGAGAAGCAGAAACATTCTGGGCAGAGCGATACTTTTATTGGATCACTAAGAAGTTGCAAACAATGTCAGTTACTAGGGAACTGGAACAAAAAGTAAAAACTTAAGAAAAAAATCTGGCCAAATGTAATGACCATTGTAGGTATATTGACTTAAAGATAGAGACACCCTAATCAGTGAACAAAGGCATCAAATGATTATTTCTCAGCCTCTTCCCTTTCTGTAGACCAGTGGTTCTCAAGTTTGGGTAACCCAGGTGCTCCTGGAATGCCACTCCCAAACGCCTTGGCCACCACAACTGGTAATGAAGGCTTCTGGTAGCTGCAGTCCAAGAACACGTGGTTACCCACAATAGGGAACCACTGCTGTAACCAAAAGCCTGTCTGTACGCCGTGTGCACTTAGCTATCCATTGCCTTCGGTAAGGCCCTTGCCTTGGCTCAGCCTTGGAGCAGAAGCATGACAGCAAAGCAAGAGATGGGGCTGAGCAGTCTTCATCTTCCCCAGTCACCGAAAACATTAAACCACCTAAGGCTGAAGAAGACTTCTGGAAAACTCAGGCATTCACTTTATTTGCTACATTTTGGTAACCTCGTGATGGTATTAGTCAACCCCCAAAATTCTTTCTATTCTATCTGTGGATCATCCCCGCTACTTTTTGTTTTTCTGTTTTCACTTCCCTGGAAAGACCTACTACCAAAGAAAGAAGCTTTGCTCTGAGACTCCTTTCCAGTGAAGATGCCATCTCCTTCCAGCCACTAGCCGTGGCTCTACCCATTCGACTCTGTAGCACCCAAACCTAATCTAACGGGCTTTGTTGTCAGTCTGACTGAAGACACAAAGGCCCTTCTTACATCTGCCCTAGGTTTTTGGATTTCTTCTTCCTTCCCAGTCCAATTCCCCCAAATTAGTTACAGGCGGTGAAAAGCAAAATATTTCTCCTCCAAGCAACGCTCAGCGGTGCCACTCAAATGGAAGGAGAAGCTAACATTACAATCCCAGGGAAAGTAATTTGCTATTCAGTTCAGCTTAACCACAGCCATTCATTCCACCACAGAGTCTCAAGTGGATGCCTGACAATCAAAGAGGAAAAGCCGCTTTTAATTCTCATAATTATGCACAGTGGAACCAGAGCACTTCACAAGGAAGTAACACAAAGGACAGTATACTCAGGTGCTTTGTTCTGGCTTGGTGCAACCATTACCAAATTTGCCACCAGAGAAATTCTAAAATGCAAAACAATATTTTGATGTGTATTGTGGACCCTAATCCTTTGGAAACATCTATTTTCTTATTTTATTTATACCTCACCTTTCTCCCACAGAAGGGACTCAAGGCAATGCACAACAGCTATAAAATACATGTTAAAAACCACAATCAATTAAGACATTAACTTTAAAATATGATTAAACTAAAACAGTATTAAAAACACTATTGTTTGTGTTCTGTGCAGTTAAGTTGGAACTGACTTACAGAGACCCTAATAGGGCTTTCAAGGTAAGTGAGATAATTAAGCAGTAGTTTTGCCAATTCCACTCCCCAAGTCAGTTTCCATGGCCAAGTGGGGGATTCAAACCCTGTTCTTCAGAGTCCTAGTCCATCACTCTACCCATTCCACCACACTGGGAACCTGAAGAAAACACTACTCGTGAAAACAAATTAAAACAAATTTAAAACACTGGATTAAAAATATCCCCAAAAACTACAATCCTGAGAGGGCATTTGGAGTTCAAAGGGCTACGTAGTTCAAACAAGAGCTAACAATGGTGCCAAATGACTCATGCACCAGATGTGGGAAATTGCTCCCCCCCACACTTTTTTTACTGGAACTGTACCCTGA